TCTGAGTCATATTTCTATGGAATAAATCAACACATCATTATATTTAAATCTATGATTTAGAGGTAGTTTAAGCACCAAATCACATGAATTCCCCTCCAGTCAAAGGTCACTGAGATCTATGCTAAGCTAGTTATCTTTAACAGCAGTTTGAACTGTTCTCATCATGATCACATTTAGCTTGCTGCTTCATTTAGTCGTGTAGAAAAACAGACTGAACACACAAGATGTGAGTTTATCAAGAATATAGTTTCTATTTCCAGATAACAGCCAGGGGGAGATCAGTTAGCAGCTAAGCTAGCAGCTTTAGTAGCAGCTTGTAGCTAAGGCTAACTGTGCTATGAGAGCAGCTAGCTTAGCCTTGATGAAAGTTGAGGTGTGTAGCTTCAGATGTGTATTTAGCTGAATGAATGTGAAGCTGGCAGGTAGATGACAGATGACACAGTCAGAGTGCAGTCACTGCAGTTTGAGTCACAACACATTTAAAAAACACTTTTCACAGAAATGAAACTCTTCTCTGCTCTGATCTGTTTTTAAAGTAAAGCAAACGTGAACTCAGTTTGGACCAAATATGGAGTCACTGCGTTTAGTCTCTGTTGGCTCGTATGACCATAAAAACATGGAGAGACAGTAACCATCTGCTCCCTGCTCTACAGATGTGCATTAATAATGTGTGTTTATAGAGATTATTTGTGGGATAAGTTGAAGGAGGTAAACATGGAGGTGTGTGTGTGTGTGTGTGTGTGTGTGTGTGTGTGTGTGTGTGTGTGTGTGTGAAGAAGTTTTAACTGTGTAGCTGTAGTTAGCTACTGAAGCCAGCTAGTTCATGGTGCTGCTAATGTTAGCTTCATAATGTGCTCATACAGTGTTCAGGCCCTCATTATTCATACCTGATGCTTTAGTCACCTTCTGTTCCTCACAGTAACAACAGGTGTTGAAGCTAATGCTAAGGCCTGCTATATCTCTACAGCTATATTTACAGTGAGTGTGTCTTCCTGCTGCTCTGCATGTTTTATACGGTATCTTTGTACGTACCACGTCGTCTCTACTCCATCTGAAATCAGTCCAATCAGCAGCAGTGCTGTGTGGACGCTCTTTGTGACCGTCTCAGTGTGCTCTCACTTAGAACACAGGTAGGACTTATTTCTGTCTCATAGCTCATACTTTCAGATCACAGCACAGGAAGTGATGTCATCAGGAGGCATGGTCTAGAAGAAGCAGCTTCCTGTCTTACATCAGGATAAATATCATGGTTATAGTGCCCTGTAGTGGTAGCACACAGAATATATTCATATTGAAACTATGTGAATCAAAGGAACGAGTCAAACGATGAGCAGCAGAGGAGAAAGAGAATCTTCACAGAGAAATCACTGATGAGCTATGGAGGTGTACACAGCGCCACCACATGCACGCATGCTGCAGCAATTCATCCTGATAGAGAGGCTGAAAGCTGCAGCCTGAACACTCTTTGGTACGCTGTTCTCTTTCAGCACCATGTCTTCATCATCGTCATCATCATCATCATCATCATCATCATCGTCCTCGCTCTTCTCTCTGCCTCAGCCATCGTGTTAGCTAACCTCGCTCTCAGCACTAAATGTACAACAAGCTGAGGCTTCATCTGATTGGTCAAATGTTCACCTGCAGAGTGTGAAGGAACGTCACGTCCACATTGAATGATTCGTTTTCCAGGAAGTCGTTTCCGATGCGTTTATTACGTGTGTTCAGTTTCCGATGACGATGGAAGATTTATTTTGCCGCCATGCTGACTGATCACATGATTACAGAACCACTTCAAACCAGGTACGAGGTCGACTTCATTCTCATTGTCTCGTATCAAATATTCAGTTTACAGGGAACAAAGGTGTTTTTATCAGAGCTAAAGTTAAACAGACATTTCAAAAGAAAAGACATCCAACAAGTTCAGACAGGAAAGAGAAGTAGTATGAAGTGAAATAAAGATGCTTCATTAATGTCAGTAAGATGATGATAATATTACACAGAGTACAGTCTACACATCTTCTTTATGGAAGGAGTCATGAGCTAACACTTTTTTAATCTGGAGCTTTATGAATATATTATTATTCAATGATAAACAACAGCTAATGATACTTCATCATCATCATCCTTTGAATCAGGTCACCAGTTTTTAGTAACTTGGAGTTCATGAATCTGAAGACCTGACCTGGATCCTGAACACCTGGATCCTGAACACCTGGATCCTGAACACCTGGATCCTGAACACCTGGATCCTGAACGCCTGGATCCTGACCGCCTGGATCCTGAACGCCTGGATCCTGAACGCCTGGATCCTGAACGCCTGGATCCTGAACGCCTGGATCCTGAACACCTGGTTCCTGAACACCTGGATCCTGAACACCTGGTTCCTGAACACCTGGATCCTGAACACCTGGATCCTGAACACCTGGTTCCTGAACACCTGTTTCCTGACCACCTGGATCCTGAACACCTGGTTCCTGAACACCTGGTTCCTGAACACCTGGATCCTGAACACCTGGATCCTGAACACCTGTTTCCTGAACACCTGGATCCTGAACACCTGGTTCCTGAACACCTGGTTCCTGAACACCTGGATCCTGAACACCTGGTTCCTGAACACCTGGTTACTGAACACCTGGTTCCTGAACACCTGGATCCTGAACACCTGGATCCTGAACACCTGGTTCCTGAACACCTGGATCCTGAACACCTGGTTCCTGAACACCTGGTTACTGAACACCTGGTTCCTGAACACCTGGATCCTGAACACCTGGATCCTGAACACCTGGGCTGTGTCTGAAATCACTCCCTATCCACTATGTAGTGGACACGCCATTTTGTAGTGCAGTCTGAATTCTGAGTGAGCATGGTCATACCCTATATAGTCCACTAAATGTATCCCACAATGCATTTTGAAAAGTAGTGTATGAGCGTATGAGTACCGGAGCAAAATTGATCTTATTCTGTTCAGGGACTGATGACGATGTAGCCCAGCTGATCCGGCTGAGGAGGGAGAAGGACCACCCCTTCAGCGGGAGGCGGTTTGCTGCTGCTGCAGGATGGGAGTGAGACATTTCATTATTATTAATAGCTTTCTTATTGTGATGTGTCATTATATTGGAGGTAAAATGTTCTTGACTTATAGCTTTCTAGTAGGCTATAGTTATCCATGATTTTGAGGCATTATGTTTTTTTTTTACATTTTGAAGAACTTTGCTGAAAGACATGCTGCTGTCTGATCGAGTCAGTCCTGCTCGGGCGGATAAAAAGTGGGAGAACTTGAAGAAAACGTACAAGGTTTGTATTTGTTGTATTTAACTGTAGCCCTGGATAATTAAAGTTTAGATTAAAAATGGCACTTCATGTTCTCCTTTAGTATCTCCCTATGTTGTATTCGGAATCTGAAATTGACTTTAACATGTATAATTGTGCATAGCTAATAGTTGATATGTATGTGATTGTGTGCAGGAGCTCACAGGGAGTGGCACTGAATCAGGGGAGGCCACTGCTGGGACATGGAAGTGGTTCTCCCTCATGGATGAGGCAATAGGTGGGAGGCCATCCATAAGGCCTCCATGCCTCATTGCCTCAGCATGGGGAGAGAACTCTTCCATGTCCCAGCCAGAATCCCCTGATTCAGTGCCATCTGACACTGAGAGAGAGCCAGGGAGAGGGTCAGAGGAGGCAGAGATGTGGTGGTGGTGACAACATCCTTAACTTTTTGGAGAGGGCAGAAGAAAGGGCGGAAGAGAGAGTTAGAAGAGATGAGGCCAGGGAGGAAAGGTTGTTGAGTTTGATGGAAAAGATTATAGAAAAAATGTGATACAATTAAAATCTGCACATTAAAATAAATGTTTTATGAATCAGTTTTTACCATCAACATCACAACATTGAAACTTGAAAGAACTGATTTTAAAGTAACTGATACAACATCTCGGCTAATTTTTAAGAAAGAAGGAAGAAGATTTTATAAATAACTGATAACTACTAATAACTACATATTTACAACTATTAACACTGAATATTGAACTATTTACATGAATTCAAGTCTTAACAAAAATACTGCTGTATTTTTTTCTTAATTGTAGTCATGATCATCCAGAGCTGGCGGATTTTCAATCGGGGCTGAAAGAGCAGCAGCCATGCGTCCACGCAGCTGCTCCCCACACTGCGAGTCAGGCTGAAGCTTGCCGTCTCCATCATCCGGCCTCAGTGCCTCTTCAACTGGCTCAATTGTGTCGCCATCCCTGAGGCAGAAATTGTGGAGGATGGCACAACAAGCCACCACCTCCACAGAGAACACAGGGCTCACTTCTAGGGCCTTGAAAAAGACGGAGCGCCATCTAGCCTTCATAATACCAAAGGCCCGCTCGATAACTGTCATGATTTGGTTTTGAATTTGACTTTCCCTGTTTTACCCCAGTGCTGCTTGTTTCCCTTGTGTGTTAATGTTTCCTAGTGTTGATGGTTTCCTAGTTTTGTCTTCAGTGTTTTCTGTTTTATTTTGTCATTTATTATCCTCGTGTTCTAGTGTGTTTTGTTAGACTCTTGAGTTCTGTGTGTCTTTTGTGTTTCATGATTTATTTTGTATTGTCCTCAGTGTTTCTCCCTGCCTTGATTGTCTTCACCTGTGTTATTAGACTCACCTGTGTTTGATTACCCCATGTCTATTTAGTCTCTGTGTTTCTTCCCTTCTGTGTCAGTTCATTGTTGTTTGTATGTCAGTTATCAGTAAAACAATTGTCTGTTAAAATAGCACTGAGCGTCATCACTTGGAGGCTTAATTCTGATGTGGCAGCCATCGATGCTGCCAACAACACGACTGAAAGCCACGGATCCTGCCAGGTTTTCAAAGCCTGCACCAATTCTTGCAAGGTCATCTTGGGATGGCAAGTAGATGACCCTGTTCTTTAGCCCGATTACTTTCTTTGATACCCTGTGTACAATGTCATGTACAGTTGAGCGTGGAATGTCAAAGGCTCGAGAAACCACGCGGTAAGACGTGGCGCTTACCAACCAAAACAAAAAAACAAGAATCTCCAGATCGAATCCCCAGCCGTGGTCAGATGGCACCGTCAACATGGCGTTTCACTCTGCAGTACTGAGATTGATGTCTGAACTGTAAATAAAGATATTGATTCTCATGATATGATGTTTTTAAATGTAATGTGATCAAAAGGTATGTCAAAATGACTCAGTAGAAGATTTATGTGGCTACAATACTGTGACATGTCTAAGTGTCCCCAGGAGGGGGTGTAGTCTGACACTACAACTTTACATACTGTACTTCCACATGATCTAATATAAATGCAAAGGACTAATATCATCTTTTAACTTACAGTTTGGCTACGTCTTGCTAGTATAGCAACGGCGGCACGTCTCAGTCCTCTCTGTCTTTCTCTAGTTATTCTGATTCTTCTTCGAATAAAATAAGTTGAATAAGAGTCAAAAGAAAAACAGAAATATTGATATTAGGTGGCATCTTTCAGAGTCAATCTGTAGCTTTATAAAGGCCGTTAAGTGATAAAGGTTTTCACAGTTTTGAAACGGAGTAACGGTAAAGATAAAGTCAGGCACGAGACACTCCAATAAGTTGTGGCGCGAATATATGGTTGGTATTTATTTATTGAAAATAACGTGTAATACATTTATTCATTATATTTGATTAATGTGGAAAAATATGCTAAGTATAATATTAGTTATCACTGAAATCCATGCTGTTTACAGTGTTGATGACTGTAAATCCCCAGCCGTCCATGAGCGACGTCTTAGTTGTGCGACAGTGATTACGTCACTGTCAGCGGCCGGCGAGTGAGCGAGTAGTGTCCAAAATGTTTTTTTTATTTAGCTGAGTGAGTGCATTATATAGTCCACTACATCTAATTCACTATATAGTGAGTAGGGAATGAGTGAGTGATTTCAGACACAGCCCTGGTTCCTGGTAAGGAGGGCCCAGCAGCTCTTCCTTTTTTTACAGACCACTGCAGGACAACAGACTGCCTCAAACACTTTAAACTTCTATACACACAATATATCTGATATCAAAGTAATAAAGGATCTATCTTTGTAAATCATCTGACACAATAAACAAGCTTCCTTCAATAAAATAATAAAGCTGTGACCTTTGATTCCCTGTTGCTATGGTGATTATTAGACTTTGGTATTTCCTGGTGACAGGAGACTTGACTTTGACTTAGTCCTGTTGTGACGCAGATCTGTTCTCCGTGTTCAAGGTAAGAGACACTTTTTTAAATGTTTGAAAGACTCTCATTTAATTTGAGTGTAAAAGAGCTGTAAGCTAACAGTTAGCCACCGGGATCATTAGCTGCTCTGACTACAGTAGAAGTGAAGGAAACACAATGATCAGTGACTCAGTCACGATGCAGGCTATGCTAACCATGCTAACTGTGCTAACACAATTGAAGACGAGCCCGCTCTGGAAAATTCAGAGTTTCTTTCATTGAGATAATCACTTTATCTTCTGTGATTTAAATATTCTAATTAAAACTCATCAGTGTGAGTGTTGTTCTCAACATCATTTTTCTTAATGATGTTTGTTTACCGTGAAACTCGTTCTGAATTAATTCATAAGAAGAAGTTTTAATAACTCTCTCAAACAGCTTTAATAATAATAATAATAATAATAATAATAATAATAATAATAATAATGCATTTTATTTTTGGGCTCCTTTCATGTCACTCGAGGTCACCTTACTGACAAAGCAATGAAACAATGATACTGGAGCATAAATTCAAACGTTTCAGCAAAACAAGGAGAGAAAAAAGTTTAATTAAAACATTAGAATTCATCAAATAAGGAGAATGAGATGATTACAGAAATTAAAAGAGTGATTCATGTCCTAGTTACAGACTGTGCAGTGAATACACACAGAACCTAGAACTAGTTTAGTACTTCAGCTGGATAAGCAGTCTAACAAGTACAGAACATCTGACAGTAATATACCATCTCCTATAAGAGAGAACAGAAGATTAGATCATGTTAGCAGGTGAACCAGGTAGATGTGATGTTTGTAGACTGACAGTGAGGTGATGATGATGAAGGTGAATCAGCAGCTTCATCTGTTTGTTTCCTCCACAGCTGAAGATCTTTGAGTGGATGTGACTTCAGCAGCTGAACTCCATCAGTGTTGTTGTTGTGACAGAGTGCAGCTCTTCCAGCAGGGGGCGCTCTGCTATGGATCAGTGTGAGGACACAGAGGAGGGGGTCCCTCCCTCTAAAACCTCTCTGTGTGAGGAACATGAAGCTCTGAGGTGAGATGAGGATCTCACTTCACTCCATCATCATCACTGTCTCATCTGCTGCTCACAGTAACTAATAATGTTTGTTTGTATCAGGATGAAGAGACAGAGACCAGACTCTCCTGGACCCAGCTGTGTGTCCATGAAGCGTGATGACTCTAAAGATTTCCCTATTGACTTTAAAGATGGACGTCCTGCTGATGGAAGGTGAGATCTGAAAGTGAAGTTAATGTTCTGACTCTGTTGTTTAAAGACTCATATCTTGTCTCAGAGCTTCATGATGTGTTGTAGGACTCATCAGTTTATTGTTTCAGCAGTGACATCACAGTGTTCACCAGTCAAAGAGTTGAGTGATCAGACTCATCATGATAAACCATATCACTGAGTTTGTGTTTCTTTAAATAGAAATCCAGTTTACAGAGTAGCAGCTGATTTCAAAGATGGAGCTTGATGAGCAGAGGTCATATTTTTTCTAATTATCCCTCGGATCATTACAACAGAAAATAAAAGAATAGATCTTTAATGTCATTGCTATAAAAACAGTGAAAGGCAGTTTAGCAGCTCTTTGTCAGAGGCAGCACAGACAAAGAGCTCTGTTCTGCTTTTCTACAACTCTTTCATCCTCAGACATTTACATCACTCTCACTTCCTGTCTTCAGTCCATGTTCACCTCTCGCAAAAAAACCCTACTGCAAAGAAGTTAAATATTCTTAGATAAAGTCAAATTGTCTTGATTCAAGAAAAATAAACCTGCCAAAATAATTAGCTAGATTTATTTGTCTATTTTAAAAGTCGATTCACTGAAAGATGATTCTACATCTCAATACATTTTATTTAAAGTTTTACAAAGTAGAAATAAAATCAACATTAAAAAGTATTTACAGGATGTAGAGGATTTATGAGACTGGAAGGGGAATGATCAGACTGAATATGTCAGTTTAAAAAGATGTGTTTAGAGATGAGATTTAAAAATGGAGAGAGTGTCAATACTACGGATGTGTGGTGGGAGGGAGTTCCAGAGGCGGGGGAGGGGCAGAGCAGCTGAAGGCTCTGGACCCCCTGGTGGACAGGCGGGTGGTGCAGTGAGGTGAATAGAAGAAGAAGACCTGAGAGTGCGGGTGGGTGTGTTGATGTGCAGGAGTTCAGAGAGGTACAGAGGAGCGAGGTTCTTTATCACTGAAATATTTCTGAAGAATACAAGTAATGAATAAACGAATCTGTTCTCAACAAATGACCAAGCTAGACAATTATGCATCGTAACAACATTCATTCTGTATTCACAACGGAGCGCTACACTAGCTGCTCTGTTTTGAACCAATTAGACCATACTGCTGGGCAATAGTCAAGATTGGACAATATTAAAGCCTGGATTACCTGTTTAGTTAAGTTTTGTGTTCAAAATCTGGCACATCTTTTAATAACAATAATAATAATACCAGCTGTTTGTTTGTATCAGGATGAAGAGACAGAGACCAGACTCTCCTGGACCCAGCTGTGTGTCCATGAAGAGTGATTGGTGTATAATGTGTATCTTGGTTCAGAGCTTCATAATATATGACACATTGTTTTCTTGTGTCACAGAGTTCAACAGGAGAGCTCCGAGGTTCACAGAGATCAATCAGACCAGCAGAATCTAACAGACCTGGACTCCATCTTTATGGTCTGTTCAACACACTGTTATTTAATTTACTATCATTACAATAATTTAATGCTAAGTTATTGTTCTGTTTAGACCAGCTTACCTTCAGACTGACAGATGAACCACATGTTGAGTTCTACCAGTTTATATTAAATATCCAGTGTCTCCTTCTGTTCCAGCTGCTGGAGGAGAACATCGTCACCTTTGTGAAGAACGAGCTGAAGAGAGTCCAGAGAGTTCTCAGTCCAGATTACCCAGAATGCTTAGAGAGTCAGAGTGAGGATGAAGAGCAGGGGAGAAGCTGTAAAGAGGATTTTTTGAAGATCACTCTCCACTTCCTGAGGAGAATGAAGCAGGAGGAGCTGGCTGACCGTCTGCAGAGCAGTAAGAACATTTTAACAGATTTAGTATTTTAGAAAAAGGACAAAAAGGTTTAAAGTTCCAAACTCAGATAGTTATGTGATCTATATCAGGATCTGTTCATTGATTTCAGTTCTTTCTTTATTCAGGAACGTTTGGTGCAGTGCAATGTAAACTGAAATCTAACCTGAAGGAGAAGTTCCAGTGTGTGTTTGAGGGGATTGCTAAAGCAGGAAACCCAACCC